GAATTTCACTCCCTTTTCTCAGGTGATGTTTTGAACATCATCCATGTACCGCTTGTCCTGTGCCAGAGTCTTCTGCTGGATGAAACCCACTTCGATTGGGCACCTGGTAGCTGTATACCTAAACCCTTCTCGCTGCCGAAGTCTGTCACAGGAGACGCTAGCGATCGCCACGACAGTTTCGACCGAGATCTCCTGAGATCGTCTGAACCACACCACCAGGTACACGTCAAGCTCTTTGACCAAAGAGTCTTGGCCCCAACTTCCGCAAATGGGGATGCAACGTCGAAAAAGAATGTCCAAACTTCCAAACACCCTTTTCAGTCGTCGACCTTGGAGGGAGCGCAGGCAGAGGGGCGGCTTCATGGGCGTCAAATGGTTTCATGCGGGGTCCACCTGCAACACAAGAGTTCAACCACAAGAGGAAACCGTGGCGCCTTCATTGTTCAGGTGAATCAAACTGTTCCGGTTCGTACACGCGATCTCAGCAAAACCCCATGGCGCTGGCCAAATCGGCACCGGCCAAAGCAGGTGCAAAATCCCAAATCGAATTTGATTGAATCCGAGGAGGCAAACACGGGTTTAAAATGTTTTTGGCCAGCAGGGTGCTGAAGATAGATTCCACACAGAAGACCCAGCAAGTACCTCAATCACGAAGATGTACGTACTCTAGTCATCCTCTGGTGTCACTGTTCACCTTCTACTCTCCAACACCCTGAAACGAATCGGACACGCTGGATATCTCCGAAACGCACACCGATTCTGCCTTTGAAAAGCGTCAGCAAACATAGCACATGCATATAATGTGTTTTACAACATCCCGACATGCAGAAGGCCCCAAGGCCATGCTGTGCATCCTTATTCTTCTTTCCTCTCCATGATCTCAAACATTTGGACTACAGCCTAAGCTGCCAAGTCTAACCTGTCTGGAAAGCAAGCAAAGGGATCATGATGATTGGCGAGAGGTATTTTAAGTTGCACATGCAGGATCAACTAGTCATTTCAGAACCTTTTGACTTGCCTCAATATAATTACCGCATACAGCATATAGAAGCTTCTTGCAAGCTTGCTGTGGAAAGAAGTCCATGCAAAAAGTCGTGGCATTTCTCATCAACATGTCTTGAACCTTATTTATTGCCGTGGATCAGCGTCTGCAAACGCTGAATCAAACCACAAAGGAACTCAGCCAGACTTAGAGCCCCAGGCCCATAGCCTTATCATTTATTCAGAGAATCAGTCAACTTGACATGTTGAACAAAGCGTATTGGACATTGATTCCATCTACGAGGGACCTCCATAAGAATTTTGGCATGCTCAACTTGAATAGATCTATATAACCACTCCTTGCCACGTCCAACAAGAACGCATCTTTAAAACATGTTTGTTGCAGCAGTTACATGCTTTCCTGCGCAAAGCACGCAAACAACAACAACAACAACAACAACAACAACAACAACAATTTGGTCTATGTTTTCATCCAGATTCTGGCGGCAGCTGTGCTGACCGAAGAAGGGAAGATTGCTGAGCGACTGAGACCGACCTCCATGAACCGAGGCTTGGAGTCGGTGGGCCGATGTCGCTTTTGTTACTAGTAGCGATGCACCTTGCTAGTAGCTTCTTGCTCCTAGTAGTAAGGCCAGGAGCCCCTAGTAGCGTCCTTCAGGACTTTAAGGGGGGTTGCGGGTTCGGCTCAAAATGGCTCCTTTCCTTCGGACAAGGATCAGCATGGCCATGTGGACCGGCGCCAGCGCCACTCAATGCCACTCACTCTCAAAAAAAATCAACATAATGAGCACTGTGAGAGTGCTAATCCCGTCGGGAGGACACTGAATTCGATTCTTGCAGGGGATCTTCTTGCAAAAAAAGGGTCTTCAAATTCAAGGCCAACTGTCAAAGAGATGAGGGCAACATCAAGTGTAGTTCCAAGATCCCCGTCCGCAAGCCTTCAGCTTAATTATGTGCCAGTGACTCCACGTAGATTGTTCCAGTACACCTTTCTTTGCATTTTTCCATGTCTTCCTAGGAAAACACAAGGCATGTCCTTTTGCCTCTCCTATGACTCTACGTCTTCGTCTCGCTCTTTTCAATCCGGCCGCCCTTTGGGTCGCTTCCCACTTCGACGGCTCAGGCCAACTGGGCCAAGCTCTGCCGCATGAGGGACTTGGGCGGCGGCCCATGCATGCCATGCCTCAAGTCCAGGCACGTTTGGATCTCCGCCTCGAGGGCATGGGAGCTCTGTACGGAGTCCGGGTGGAGTCGTCCGGGAGTCGTTCAGAGTTCAAACGCGGTGATGAGGATGTGATGAGGATGGTTTAGGGGATCAAGTGCCCACCATGGGCATCTTTTCGCAATGCGATCACGGCGTGGGAAAGCGTGGGGAGCTGACCCTAACGTGGGAAGCTGATTCTTTATGATCTTCCTTCGGAATGACCATGAAATGGACAACAGGCCTTGATTCCTGGAACAGTACACAGTCCACATTTTGAACCTGGCAGTCTGAGCCAAAAGGGTCATATAGGGTTCTTCGACAAAGAGAGTACAAAAAAAGAAGGTAAGGGATGGCAAGGTCCCCCTTTAGTCTTTCACAGAAGCCCTTCAGGCAAAAGGATCGGAGCAAACACATGTATTTCTTGATCTGCAAACTTCGGAACTTCAAACTTCGGCATTTGGCACATGCTACTAGTAGCGATGCACGTATTTCTAGTAGCTTCTTGTTACTACTAGTATGGCACTTGTTACTAGTAGCGATGCAAACTTCGCTTTTTGAACACCAAACCGGGAAGCATGCTTAGTCCGGCATGGCATGAGGAAGACATCAAGTTCAGTATCGGACCTGGCTTTAACATCCAAAGCTGGTTCTTGAATCCTCACTCTTGGGCCATGGCGGCCATGGATAATCGGATAGAACGGCGAGGAGAAATTCACTATATATACAATTGTGGATCTGATCAACCAAAGCCAAAGTTGTCCAGTACAATGTCACTTCGCAAAACACACGCATCGACCTCGCGGTGTGGGTGGGAGACAGAAAGCGAACGCCAACTTAACTCTGAGAACACCCTCCCGACGCAGATGAACAAATCACGTCACCGGTAACGAGGGTTCTCGTTTTGTGCCTTAATGAAGTCCTGCAAATGCTCCATGTTGGCATTCAGCTCTTCCCGCATTTCCTGTGGCGTCACCGCTGTGTACATCGTCAAGCGATTTCCACACTGCATGCAACTTGAACCAGCGTATGCTCTCAGATGCCCGCAGTGAATAAAGAACTTTTCTGGCAGAAGTTGAGTTCATACGTATGTGTTCATCTGTGCCTTTGTTCCCTCTTTGCGGTGGGAAGAGAGTTCCAGAACAGCATTGAAATCGGTCATGAGTCATGACCAAATGACTGGTCCTCAGGTCATGACATGACAGATGTAATTCTTTTGAGCCTCAACATGGCCGTAGAAACGAGCTGGACACCTGTCATCAACAAACCTTCCGCAACTGGCCTTGACCGCCCCAAACCCGGCCAGAAGCAAAGATTCTCTGCAACCATATCTTCACGCCAAGAAACATACGAACATGCAGAAACACACAAAATTACTTGTAACATCGTGCTCATCTCTCCAGCCCACCACCTCCACCTTCCTCCAACATGTTCCCTCATCAACACATGCGCTTGCAAAAGGAAAAAACACGTCGCCAAGGGCCGCCAAGGGACGGTCACCATGTTCTGCAAAGCCTTCGTTGAAAGCAGCGTTGCCACGGCATCGCTCTTCTTCACTTCCCCGCGGATCTGCAACAAACCCTGTCCGGACGACTGCCACCGGCTGCGACGGCTGGGTGCGGCCGCTACACTACACATGGGAACATCACCATATCAAATCAAACATGTATAGGAGCAAGGACGCTACTAGGGGCTCCTGGCCTTACTACTAGGAACAAGAAGCTACTAGTAGCAAAGGGCATCGCTACTAGGAGCAACGACGCTACTATTCAGTATCGTCACTGTGACTGGGTTGTTCACATCTTCAGATGGAGGTGCACACTGAGGGACTCTCAGACCATGAAACGGGATGGACGGTGTCAATTTTTTGAACCCGACTGAAAGCATGTGAAACAACAACAACAACAACAACAACAAGAACAAGAACAAGAACAAGGTAGAAACCAAAACAGCCACTCAACATAGTTGTAACTCTGAACTTCAACGGGACAAGGTTGGGGATACAGTTGAAGGTTTGAGGGAATGTTGGTTTCGTAAGTAGCTGGACTTGTTGGAATTTGCTGGTACTACTGGTCCTGCTACTACTGGTCCTCCTGTCCTACTACTGCGACTGCGACTACGACTACGGGGCAAAAAACAACCACGTGGCTGCAGTTTTTGTTTGTACCAATGACAACTAACACCAGGACCACGACGATCACACATTGACCATGTGAACTGTGCATCATCACAGACAAAAAGGGTGTAAAAAGTGTGACAAAAGTCAATCCACTCAATCCAATGTTGAATGCCTGTGCTGGCGCGTTTGTTTGGGTTGAGCAGGGTGCATGGAAATATCGCATTGAACAAATGCAGGATAACATCTTGAGACATGTTTCACTAGTAAGAATGTTTGCTATTGGGAACAAGTGCATCGCTAGTAGTAACAGGTGCCTTACTAGTAGTAACAAGAAGCTACTAGGAACACATTTATGATACCACCCCAAATGCCTACCTGTTGAGTGCTGATTGCAAGAGTTCTTGGCTCAATCTGCCCTTCTTTGAAAGATAAATTCCTGAAACACGTTGCCTCCTGCAATTAGACAAGCTTTAATGCCCAGGCTCCTCGTTAAGAAGATCTCATCCTTTGCTAGAACAATTTATATATCATTTTATGATCATATATGATACTATTAGCTTCAAACATCTTCTCAAACAATTGACATATCCAACACGATTTGGATCGTTTGCGGCGATTCCGCCCCTTGCACTTGCAATCACTACTGAGTTGCCATTGTTTCCTTTTGTCGACCTTCTGTCATTGCAAGCAGTAAACAGAAACAAAAAGACCTGGCAAAGGGCCTCTTGAACCTCTTGAGAGGTCAAGCATCACAGAACCTTTGGTTCGAAATGGCCACGGCGCCTGCACGAGCTCTGTGACGTGTAGAGTTCCACTGCCGTCCGCGTCAATGGCCTCCAGCGACGCGATGAGGCTTCAGGGTTCCGATCCGAGTCTCCACGACGCCTCAAAGAGATTGGCCCGGTCGGGAGGCAAATCCAGTTCATCCATCAAGCGCTGTACACAGCGATCTTGGATCACCAACAAGAAGAGCTCCTTGGTGATGGCCTCAGTGTTGAACACTAAACTCAAGCGGAAGCTTCAACAATAACAAGGACATGGCATACTTCCACTGTGGCTCTTTCCTTCTAAGCGACAATAAAAACCGACACCTGAAGGCCTGAAGGTAGTGCAATGATTGGCGTCAAAGCATCCAGAAGATTCCATTCAATCTGTCGCAATGAGCATCAAAGGAAAGGTTAATTTGCGAGAAGACCCGCATATTTTGGTGCTTCTTCGACACATCTCATCTGTCTGTTGTACTCTGAGCATTGCACAATCTGAGCATGGATGTCATTGTCTGTGAAAGGTGCAGCACCATGACTGAAGTCTAACTGCGGCATCTTATCCTCAGTGTTTGGCCACGGCCGTCAGCCATCTTTGGAAGGGTTGGGAGGCCATCGCTAGTTGTTGGAGGCCAACGCTAATAGGGTGGGGGGCATCGCTAGCAGGTTCCGGAAACTGCTTTACCCTTGCGCCCAACAAGCCGGTCTGGAGCGAAAAAACACGTGTCACAATGTGGAGCGGAAGCGGCCGTGATGGAGTTGATAGCAAGAACCATTGGTTTCAGGATGTTGCAGGCCAATATTTGACTTTGGGCAATGAAGGTGTACTTCAGGGATGACACATGTTGACATGGTGAACATGCCCAGGTTCATGACTTAGACTTAAACTTCACATTGACATACATTGACCAGTTGATAATCACCGCTGGAACATATGCATTGACAAGCGAGCTCTGCCATCTATGCCACTAAATGAGAGCGTTGAGTGTATGCTGGCGTATTTGGTGGTTGACATGCCATGACTTTTGTTCATGGAAACGGCCTGTCTTTGCGAACTCACAATGATTCCTTTGCGAATCTGTCACAAACCCCATGTTTGATTTTTGCAGGAAAGCAAATGCCCTCTTGGCAATTGCCCTTACCCCAGACCCCAAGGAGTACACAAAAATGTTCTGTGTAAAGCTCAACATTCCTGGCCAATTGTCTTTGGTTGGCGTGAACTGATATGGCAAGTTGCTTGCTTATTTTGGAGTAATTTTAGCAGCTGGGGTCTTGCAACTAGGCTTTCACTTTCGCCCCAAGCCTTTGCGAGCCTGTCGCGACATGTCACACAAAAAACATCATTACGTAACATATTGCGCCACAAAAGTTGTCTTCCCCGGATCTTTCACAAAAGGGAACACTTTGCGTTCACGAGTTCCAAAGAGAAAAGACACAATAATCTAAGTACTAAGAACAAACAACTTTCGCCAGTGTTTACAAGATCAAAGGCTCTCACCGACTCTCGCCTGAAGGAAGCTTTAATGAATCAACTACCATGCACACATCATCAATAACAACAATAGATATGTCGTGACATATCATGATACACTCCCTGGGAGACCATATTCCCCTACAAACAGGGGAGCCATCCACTTCCATGTTAGTTCCTGGGAGAGTACATCAATCATTCGCGTGCTGCCAACACAGTGGCGATGTTGTCCAAATCCTGGTAGAGGCGATATGCAGCCGCGAACTTCTTAAGAAGCTCTCCTCAGAATGGTGCAGTGACCCTTCCCCAAGTCACAGTGGCAGGCTGCGAAATGCGCCCAAAACCATAAAACACATTGTGGACTGTGGACTCAGTTCTATACTCATTCATGTCTCGTCTGGAGTAAAACTTTCCGGACAAATTTGTCCTCGACTGACCATTCACCAGGTGAACGGCAAACACGAAAGAGTCGGTCTTCTTGGTTGAATTTGCGTTGCCGTGAGCCACAGTTGAAAGCCTTCCTCATTGCGTTGCCACCTCCTTCTGTCATAGACACTTAGTCCTGTTGTGAAGTGAGCCTGATTCTTACCCAAACTTTCTGGTTGCCAGCAACATGCAACACTCGAGAATTAATTGAACGACGTTCAAGTAATAGCTGTGGGTCATTCTGCTGGGACCATAACACAAATTGGGGAACCTACCATGCTGACCCATTTCTGACTGGGGCGTGATGGGTGTAGACGAGTACGAAGACCCCAACGTTGGTGGTTTTGGTAGTCTCCTTCCGGCAAGCCCTTCGAACTTCTTCGAACCATTTCAAACCCGAACTTCTTCCTCCGGGCAGCGCGTGGTACGTGCGATCCGAATGGACTCACGTGCGTGCTGCTCGGCGGTCATCGCATCGTTCTCCTGTCGGAGAGGCTGCTGTCCAAGCGAGCAAACTCCCAGAGGTTCTTGCAACAGGGGCGTTCGCAGAAAAGGTCTTTCTTGTCTTTTCTTCAACCATTGAGACTCTTTTCTTTCTCCTTTTCTTCTCCTCGGAGGGAGCATGTCTTTAACTTCAACCTCAACCTTGAGACTCAGGCATTCAACCTTTCACAAAGGACCGCTGAGCCCGTCAGTGACAAAATGGTTCCAGTTCACGGTTGTCGCTGCCCGGCCTTTGCTGCTTTCATGGTGATGTCAACATAGACCTGGGAAATGTTGCGCAGCAGGGGCCCACGTGATTTACAGCCAGCTGCAGCAGCCCTTGCAAAACAGCAAAGAGCAGCGCATCTGCAACGCGCATGTGAGGAGAGTAAGTGAACCTAAGAGAGTAAGTGACGCTAGTAGGGGCTCCTGGCATCGCTACTAGGAACAAGAACGCTAGTAGGGGCTCCTAACAGCAACCAGAGTAACCCCCGTGAGAAGGTCCGACAGGACCGGTCGACAGCCGTGAGATTCCTTAGAAGCACACTAAACAGAGCCATCTGGATACATCAAGGTCCAGATCCGGCCAAGGGTTCGTTGGGGCAGTGTAAGCAAACGATTTGCCTGGACACTGCCAAAACTGATGGTCCTGGAAACCAGTTTCCTTTTGACAAGAGGGACTGGCGTCCCCTTGACCCGGCAAATCTTCTCCCATCGACGATGCTCCCACATAGCGCATCGGCGACGTCCGCCGCGCCAAGCTCCACAGCGCCACCGCCGACTGCCTCCATACAAACCATGACATGAGGCCCACGCGGTCACATTGCTCAATTGTAGAGCTGGGCCGTAGCTATTCAGGCTAACATTTAATGCCGCGAAGTTGCTGGAACAGGAAATGGCAGTACCAGAGCCAAACAACAGAAAACACGACAAACAACCAAATCAAACCGACCAGCCAGCACCACCAGAAACAACCCCACTACCACCAGCAGCAAAAGAGATGAAGTGAGAAGATGAGCGAGTGGTCTCGAGAGTGTCCTTGTGGCATCTTGTGCACTGTTGGCATCTTGACCACCAATCCGCCATTCTTTGTTTTTTCTTGTCCAATTCCCTGGGCAGTGCAAGTCCTTCTTGTCCTTTTTGATGTCTTTCTTGTCATATTTTTTTGTTGTTTTCTTTTGATTATTTTTCATTCTCATTCCCAAGCTCAGTGGGCATAACATACGTACCTACTAATTAAGTCGCATGCTTCGCACACATCCCGCTCACTCACGCCGAGGACTCCAAAACCCAGGAGGAGTCCGGGAGGCACATGTAGGCCCGACAGGACATTCTCACGGGGTTTACTCTGATTAAGGAATCTTAGGTTCACGTACTCTCCTCAGGCAGGCAATAAAAACAGCAAGAAACATTAAGAAACCTTGTGAGCACATTTAGCATGACAAGCAAAGCAAACACCTGCTGAAAGAAAAGGCTAGAGATGGGCAACCTGAGGACAATGACAAGGACACGGACAAATGGCACTGCAACAGTATGCCGCATGCCACCCAGTCACAGCGAGGATCACGTTGAAGATACCTCAGGGGTTGGTATGTCTAGGACTGTGTGTTGATCACCGGCGCAAATATTGTGACACCCAACTGCTTCTGTGGCATGCTTGATTCAGAAATGACACAAGCAGCTGACAAGGAGTTGGGGTTGCTTTGAAGAGACAAAACATGACAAAACTATCTTCCTGCTGATGTAGATCCATCCAGCGGGATGTTACATATGTCAGGTATATCTTTGTAGCAGTTGGTTTGGGGGACCCAACTACTGTTGCAGGAAGATATTTAGAGCCCATCGTGGGTGTGTGGCGACAGCCACAATTTCTTCATCCAAGGCCTAATTAGTTGACAAATTACACAAACACACACTATCAGGGTAAGACCATTCTGAAAGACTACACATCTTCAAAAAAATCACAACACCTTGACCAACACGGAGCACCACCAAGTGTCGAACCATAACACTGTGCCGCACCCTACAGCGAGGAGTCGAAACACGTTGAAACATTGATGATGTCTCTTCACTCCTCCAGCATATCAAACATATGGCCCGGCAGAGTTCGGGTGGATCTACATGGATCCATTTAGAGTTTCTTAAGTCAACGTCACCCGAAGGATTCTTTGTACTGGAGGACCCAGGTCTTGAGGAGTCTTGCGATCCCAATCTTAAGCTCATCAACACAGTGTTGCTACTACACCGTTGTCTTGACCTCGAAAAAAGTTCATTGTCACCCCATCGAAGTTTTCGGCGCACAGTGTGTTCTCTCATTTTTTCCGGACTCCGCTCACAAACAGAACGCACCGTCCAAGAGTCCCATAGAGACCAACATGTAGCTCCTGACGGGGCCGAAAACATCACAACGGGTTGCCGCCTGATTTCCTTGCGAAGAGAACTCTGAAAACAATCAGCATCTTTGAGGAACCTTGTGGGATTGATTTCCATGAATTCCCGTCTGAAAAGTAGAAGAGCCCCGGCAAGCTGCGGTTCTGCCATACGGAAAAAAAGGTTCCCGCTTGGCGTCATTTTGACACGTCAAAATATCATTGGATTTTCGTAGATCTGTATAATGGGCGTGTACTTCACGCGTGCTACTTGCATCAACTCGTTTCAACCCCGAATTCCGTTCGCGCAATGTCCTGACAACATTTGTTTCGAGGTGAGAAACAACTCCACGAGATCTGAAGGATTGGCACTCGCAACCCCAACGCCAAACTTATAGGCGGCAATTTTGGTTTGCAGCAGTTGCTGAATGGCTTCGTACAAACGCATATGTGCGTCCTGGACCGGCGGCAGTCCGTGACACCCCAAGTTTCCAGCGACTGAACTCGGCAGCAACCCAACAACCAAATGCAACAAAAATAACAAACAACTGCCAATCCCTTTAGACCAATTTAGACCTTACAAACATTTGGACTTATTTTCCTCGAGCCCGGCCCGCAGTGTCGATGCCAAGGCGCATGACATAGCCCATGACGAATGGCAGGCCGAATTCATTCGCGATGAGCGTATGGATGGGCCGGCCTCAGAGTGATGTGGAAGGGATCTGCAGAAAACCTCAATGGCTGGTTCATGCGGATCGACATTTAAAGAGACCTTTGGCGGGTGCGCTCCCTTTGATAGGTACTTGGGT